AAAAAAATTCTACTAAAATTCTAGTTTAAAAAATTTTAATTGCGGGTGCCTAAATTAAAATAATATTTGGGTATCCTTCAATAGATAAAAAGAGAATGAATGGAAAATAAATTCAAACTTATGGCGTTTTTTTCTACCGACAAATCTCATTGCTCGCTTCGCTGAAGCGGCAAGAAGAGGGCAATGAAAATTAAAATCAAATTTTAAAAAGGAATACATCTTTGAATATGGACGTATTTACTTGTGACCGCTTACTAGAGCTTCGCGTGCGCTTATGGGAGATTTTTTTTTTCATGAATAGACATGTTTGAGTGTCCGCGTCCGTTTTTGGGAAAGTCCATGTATGGGAGAGCATTTTGTATAAAAAAAAAAATAAAAAATTGTTCGTTCCCAAGAATGTGTCCGCTTAAAGGAGATGCTCGCTTGTTAGAGCGTCCGTCTATTGGAGCTTTCACTGTACCTACTTATAGACATACATATGTACGTAGACATACATTTGATTTGACTGGAACGTACGTGCGAGCTTAGTGCTCAAGCCGGCTCCCGACGGAATACGTGATGGTGGTACCGTGGGGATCGGTACTTGGACAGTAAGAGGTTTAGTTCGGGTTAAAGCCCCACACTGCTTACATACATACATATGTACATTTGTATGTTTGTTAGCAAATCAACGCGCTTCCCACTTTTGTGCTGCCGCGAAAGTCATGTGTTGCGCATGTGATTATTTTTATTTATTTAGGGGAATCGTCCAGAGTAGATAAGATTTTTTCTCTTTTAACTTAAGAAGTAAGCGTTGATTACAACTATTTAAAACCCTTTTAAATAGCAAAAATATGGAATGCAAAAGCCTTAGTCTTGTTTCACACGTTCCGGTCGCCGGTTAGCCGGCACAAAATATATGACACCGGATTAAGCGAAAGCGGCCTACCAGCTAACCTGAAACCGGAGTGTGTGAAACTGCACTTAAAGTACTCTCTCTCATAAATCGATTATATACAATATGTATTCTGAAGTGTTTGCCGATTGCAAAAATGATTTTATAATTTTTTTCTCTATATACATATGTACATGTTTATGTATGTGCATATGTAGGCATGTATAAACGCTAGTTTGTAACAACGTTTTTAAGGTTAAAAATTATTCGGGAAAGAATATTTTGCGCAAGCCACGTGCCAAAATCGTTTTTTCTACGTAACTACCGGCAAAATGTAATCATAAAGATTGGTTAATAAAAAAAAAACATTTAAACACATCTGGTTTCCATGTTTTAGAAAATAATTTCTTAACAACGTCGAAAGCGTTCAAAAATAATGGCCAGTTTTTAAATAGTTAAAATAAGTTAATAGTAAAAAACAAATATTATTAAAACAAGCTTTCTAAATACGAACCAAATCGGATTACAAAACGAGCCTTTCAAACATCTCGACTCCTGCGCCACCTATCGGGTTCTGAAGCAACTGTGAAGTTCCAAATCTCTAGGTCCTCGGGAAGTTGGATAAAAATTTATTGCAAGATTTGCCCCAAACAAACTTACGTACATACAGAGCAAGTTAAATATAAGCTTGTAAACCACACCAAGGCAAGATTGAAATATGTGACGACAGGTTACAAATTCAACGGAAATAACGCCAATTGGCACTATTTCGCATACTAGTGCGCAATAAAATCAATTGACATTATTATCTTTTCAAAAGCGAAATAAGATGCGTTGACATTATTGCTCTTTCAAACATTAAATTTGCGTAGCTTGGCGGCCAGCTCCGAATTCTTTCAAAATATGCTCATTTAAAAACAATTCTTTCAGTGTTCCTCCGGGGTTTTTGGACACTGTTTCTTCATTCTCAGTGCATTCTTTTACAACTGAGCTACAAAAGAACAAAAGACCACCTACATGCAAAGCAAAACCACAAATTCGGCCATTTATCCGAGGTCAGCAAGGTCGGCTAAAAAATATGCAACCGAAAGGGTAGTGTTGGCAATTGAAAAAACTACTCTATTGTGAAATGTTAATAGGAAAGTGGAGATGGAAGGTTTTGTTTTCGTATATACATGATTTATATTTTAAATAGTATATATATTACGCAATTACCTTGCATAATTACTCATTTCTATTATTTTTTGTGTCTAAATCCCGTTAAGCTAATCACATGTTTCTTGCCAGATACCAGCAGGGTTGATAAGTAGCTCGAAGGAAATTTTACCCAAGTTGAGCGTTATTTTGTCGCTAGTGTTCGCTTTATTTTTGTGGAAACGAAACATATTTTGCAAGTTCTGGATTATTTTTACATTCTTCATCAAATATTTCTCTAATTCGTAATTTTAAATATTTTTTTTTTTTATTAAAATCAATTGGTGGTTCATGATTATGTTGATTAATAGCACTGTTTATTGTTTCCTACATATAATGTACATATTTCACGTACGATGCACGAACAACATTTTTATTTGAATCGACATACATTAAGCATTGTTGACGCTATTTCCATTTGAAGTAGGAAGTAGCATCATTTACTTTATATCCAAATTTTTGTTAAATTTATCTCTCTTTTGAAAAGTGAAAATAATGTCAATTGATTTTATTTCGCATCACTATGGGAAATAGTGCCAATTGTTGATCTCATTACATGTCACCTTGAAATATATTGATTTGTTTGAGTGAGACTGAAAATTTTAGGCTATTCCTCAGAAAAGGGATTCGGACGCTAGTTTGTTCCCCATATAAAACAAAAACGCTTTTATAGATTCTTTTAAGACTAACGTTCTCAAAACTTAAAGAAATACGATCTAATAAGTTTTTCATGAATTTGTAACCCGATTTTATTCGATCTACAATTTTTAAAATAATCCGAAAATAGTTTAGGAAAAGGGAAAATAATGAAGCACCCTAATGTGTATGCCAACTGTTGGTATCATTGTAGAACTTTCATGACAATTTTTTTCTATTTTATTATCTATACGCGAAAAAGTTTGTGTGGGTGCCTTCAATTATGAGAACTCCAATGTATGTACATACCTAGTTGCTATTTAGGTACATATGTACATACATATGCATGTATGTATGTATGAATGTATTTACGCGAAAAACTTTATGTTTGTACGTAAATGTACGATCAAAATTTTTTATTTTAAATACAAAATAGAATAGCGTCACACAACATGACGCAAAAGATCATTAAGGTCTTTGCAAACGGTACGTGTTATTTGTTATCAAATGAATAGGTATGTAAATAAATATCTACATATGTACCAAGTAAATATGTTTGTATATACCTACATACATACATGTGTAGATAATTATATTAGTATAAACAATGTACATTTACTCACATCATTGAATGTCGCATCTGTAAAGAGTCCGAGAAATTTGCGCACGAAATCCTCACTGGTCATGTAGTAGTCGCCATCCTTTTGTAATGAAGCGTATCTAAGGAAGACTTCCCGGAGTTTATCGGCGCTGGCACGTTTTAGAAACGATGATCCCTGCAATGGCAAAAACATATACATAAATTGATAACTAGATACATATGTATGGGCGAGAGAGTAAATTAAATATAAGTTGTGTTCTATAACAAAATTAGCCTTAACCAGCCAGCAATCCAAATCGAGAGTGTAAGCGAAAAACCTCTCCAAAATGAGAGGGAAACAAAAACAGTTACCGAACAGAAAATAAGGCATCACTTGCAAAAACAGGAATAAGAAGACAAACCAACTGACTTTATTTATGTTTTGTTTGTAAAGAAACAGAAATGTGTGGTGCCGCCATAGAGAAAAAAGGAAACGGAACGTTGAATGTTCGCCAGGAACATTTCTGGAAGTAAAAACATGTAAAGGCCAAAACACGCGATTGGTGCATTTGTACAAATTTGTACATTTTGAAAGTTACAAAGTGGTGTTGTTTGGTATTGTTTTTTATT